TAAAACATTACCACACACAGTCACACATGTTAAATAACATGTATATATGAGAACTCTCATAGCAAAACATGTGAACTCACATGTAAATATTTGGAACGAACAACATGTTAACTAATACATTATATCGTATAGCAATGGTACACGCGTGTACACATGCAAAACAAACCCCGATTTTGAACGGGCAAAATAAATCAACAGTTAAAACAACAGAAGTCAAAACCGAAAGTACTGACCGACATGTAAAGCTAACAATAACTCGTGAATTCTGACAAAACAGAACACTCTACCACAATTGTGTCAACACATTTACTTAATGTAACGTACGATTAATTACTGCTGATGATTCCTCAATGTCACACGTGAAATAACCAGGAAAAGAATCTACTTTGAGGCGAAAAGAACACGCATTGTTTACAATAACAGCTGGGCGGAAATAAGCTAGTGCGCATGTGCAGTCGACTCTATGCCATCAGAGATATCCCAAAATAGAACGAGTTGAAGGTAAACATAAACAAACCAGGATAAAAAAACTAATGAATATGCAAGACCTTACCTTGTAAATTTTAAGCCCTGTAAAACTGTTCCACGCACAGAATATATGTACTTGCGCATCCCCTTAGAAGACAAGTGGACACCGTCCCTACACAAATTTTCAGAGACGCCATCTTTAAGGCCCTTATGGCGCCAAAAGAAACACACCGTGGAACCCATACAGCGTTGTTTTAAGGCAGAATTGACGAAATCCACAGATTCATTGTAAATAGTCACAGGTGTCACTCGAGTTGTCCGACGATATAATAATTGTAGGAACCCCACACGTTTGATGCCAAAACCAGTAACTAACCACTGGGCTATCGAAAATAGGTCAGTCACAAGTGTGCCCTTAACCCGCACATTGTCAGCAAAATCTAGGTCATTTCCACCGATTTGTAATAAAACCACCGAAGGCTGAACTTTTTGAATAGTATCAGAAATACAACGAGCGTAAAGATTAGGAATCTTATCGCCACTTTTGCCAAGACACAAGACTTGTAACTGATCCGGGTAAAAACCTAGATTTGTCCATGAACCCGTAAGGCTATCATCCAAACGGCGAATAAAAATGTGACCCAAAACGATAACTGACGACATTACAACGTACAGTCAGGGACATAAAGTTTATCTTGTATATACTAAAATCTGTGATCAGATAAAACAATACAAAAATTTACAAGTTGAAATAAAATTGACCTTGACCGTACGAACCTTGTCCCGCCATCTTCTTTTATCAGCTTCTAAATAGGAGCTGCTGCGTCATTTGTATTTATAGTGATCTAATTTTAGGAACATATCAATGCGCGCATGTAACCTGTCGGACCGCATCACTCATACACCAACATACCTCCTTCCGCAAATAAAAATAGTTATGTAAAAGCATGGAAGTCTGACTGCATAAATTACATTAAAACAAGTTTTAATTTGTATATATGCTTCCTTTGGAAATCGAATAGTCAGAGAACGCTGTTGAAAATATGTAAGCTTACCGTTGAAATGTGCGGTTTCAACAGTTAAATGCCATTAGCAGGCAAAACAGCTTTCACAGCTTTGAATCATTTCGAGATATAATACGTTCAAAATTTAATAAATATTGCACCCAACACAGCATTCCTCCCAGTAACATTATAATGGCAACGGGTGAACCAGTTGTTGCCATTACCTTGATGCGGAACATTAAAAAGGAACTAACAATTTCTTTTATCGATCCATGATATACTGGGATGTCGTGACAGGTTATAAATATCTAAAACGCACATGTAACCATAAATACAGTAAGGACTCTGTACGGACAGGCTTGTTTGAACTGACTGAGTAGAGCACGGTAATGTTAAGAGGCTTGATCAAAACATCGTAATTACGACAACATTTATATAAACCTTCCGCTTACGGTAACTCCATACTTCAACACAACTGGTTGTGAATAAAGTCCCAAGATGTATATTGAAACAATTCGGCTTTTAATAAATCAATTACAACATAACGTACATGTATTTAGCAGATTTAACTGTGTCACATATCAGTTGTATATGTATTTCGCGCGGGCGTTACAAGTGCGCGTTCCGGATGTGCGTATGAGAACGAGGTGGAGGCCTATGAATACGTGACAATAACAGGTCCATTGTCACCGTTACCTGCTGATAACGCATATACGGGATATATACTAACGAAAACCACAGCTTTCGGTGAGTGCCATACCCGTCAGGACATTGTACTTGTATTTTGTAGTTCATGTGCTATTCTATATGATTTGCTGTCAGATAAACAGTCATAAACAAGGTCGTAAGCTGATCTATTTATAGAGTCGCTATCATACAGGTGTGTACAGGTGTTTACAGGTGCGCGATAGAAATATTGCATATCATGTTTTACTAGAACAATACCCTGTACCGTAGAGATAGATATGAACCGCATACCTTCGTTGCCATAGCAACCACACAGCGGCTTCTAATTGGTCGCAATTTAGAAATTGTTGGATTTCACTCAAATTTAGAATTAGGGGACTGCAAATTAAACCGCATAGGTTTCGTTGCCATATTAACTAGATAGCAACCACACAGAGGCTTCTGATTGGTCGACATTTATATATTGTTTGATTTTTATGAAAATTGGTATATGGGGATATTAGGCAACTGCAAATTCAACTGCATAGGTTTCGTTGCCATACCAACAACATGGAGGCTTCAGATTGGTCGAAATTCAGATATTGTTCGATTTCACTCAAATTTAGTATGAAGGTGTTTTATGCCATTGTGATCCTTTTCTGATGTGTCTTTGCGACTATGGGGGCAGTTTGGTGGACCATTACAATTAGTACTTGTTATATTGTAGTTTATCCCCGATATTGTTGAGTCCGATGGTGCCGATGAGGTCATGGTGTGTCTGGGTTAGCCTAAGATGTGGTGGCGAGTGATATCTGTGCTATAAGCCGACGTCTGATGAGGTAAACCAGTGGTCCAGGCTGTCCGATGAGGGATGAAGGACCAGTATGTTTACCACCTTCACTGATGCTGGATGTTGTCCACGGCTATGGAGTGTGAAGGCATGTGACTGGTAATGATGTACACTGAAAGTGGAACTCTGCCCGCTAGTATAGTGTGACGGTGCTGGTACCAAATAAGGAACATTGTACATCACTTGTGGAATACTGCCCACTTTTGCAGTGGTAGACTATAGATACTGACGTTAGTTCTATATAACTAAATTACAGCAATAGTGGATCACAGCCCATATGTAATTTAGTTCTGCTATGTAATTTGTTGGGTTCTGTCAAAGGTGTGAAATAGTGTGAGAATCAGGTGCTATATGTATTTCTTAGTCATTATATGTCATTGTAAATAAATGTGTGTGTACTGTAGGACAGTCGCCAGTGTTTTATTATCTACATAGATAGACAAACGCTCATCCCGTTACAAACTGGAAAAAATCAATGTTATTTTTACATTATATTATAAAACCGAATAATGTGATAGAAATGGATGTGAACAGTAGGATTTGTTCAATTGTGAGATCGGTTTAAAACAGGGCGAACATTTATCGCCATTTTTTATTGCAATTTAGTTAAATGATTTAGAAACTTCTCTTGTTGAAAAGTAAATTGTCTTCAAACAATAGACAAACTGTGTATTGACAACATTGGAGTGTATCTCAAACTGTTCATTATCTTTTATGCCGATGACACTGTCCTATTATCCGAAACACCCATGGTTAACAATAAGCTTTAAATGAATTTGACAATACTGTAAAACTTGGAAGTTAACTATTAATTCAAGAAAAATTGTAGCTTCTTTGAAGCAAGGATTTGTTTTTTAACCATCACATAAATCAGTTTTGCTGTTTATAGGAAATTGAGAAACATATCGTTTACATTTGATCTACAATTGAAGATATTTGATTCATTAATCATGCCGGTTTTGAAAACACAAATATTATAGAAAAAAACCATTTTCAATTTTGTAAATATATACTAATTGTAAGAAAAAGTATAACCAATTTATTATTTATGGTGAGCTTGGAAGATACCCATTAGACATCGAAATTAAATGTAGATTACTTCTAGTAAGTTATCAAGTACTATTTATAAGCTAATGTATACATTACACGAAAATGGAACTGTGTCATTGAAATGGCTCGCATATGTTCAAGATATTTTATCCCAAAATGTCCTGAACTATGTGTGGTACCATCAATCTACATGTTCCTTTTCAAAAGAAGAAATTAATAGGCTGGTGAAAAGTAGACTAAATGATCAATTTATACAGAAATGGTTTGATGATATTATCAACTCCTCTAGAGGACAAACATATTCAATACTTAAGACAAAGTTTAAACAAGAAAAATATTTCATTAAGCTTAATACAATTTATGGGAAAATCATGTGTAAATTTCGTGCTTCCAATATGCATTTACCCATAGAAAAAGGAAGATGGTTAGGTATTCCTCGTCAGGAAAGAGCATGTACATTATGTAATTTCGACATTAGAGATACATTTCATTACTTATCTAAATGTGAAAGTGATTCAGTTAAATGTCATAGAGGGAAATATATACCGAAATATTATTTTACTTATCCAAGTCAAATAAAAATGCAAGGATTGTTTAATATATATAATGTAAAAATTCTTAGAAAAGCTTGACAAAGTGTTAACAAAATTTCTGTACACGTTTGTGCTCCTTCTCTACAACTATGCTATAGTCAATTATCATTATTTACAGAAAAAAATCATAATTTTGTACTAATCATCACACTCCATGTATCATATTTACTATATGTATTTATCGCATGCCTATGCAATCTTACGATAGTAATACATCATTTTGTCAGGTGTGTTCGCACTCGTGATATATTCCTCCGCCACCACAAACTCATGCGATCCGAATGCTCAGATCAACACATATGTGTGGTATTGCCTATGTATGTGTCGGAGTGAATGAATAAAACTTGAAACTTGCAAATCTATACTTACGTCACGTGTCATAGGAAGCTTCATTTTTTCCAGCCCCGCCATTGTTCCCGATGACTGAATACTTTTCTACGAGCATATCAGGAAACAATTATTTTTCTGCTTTTAGCACAATGAATGTATATCGATGTTTTTGCTATTACTTCTTCTGTTATGCATATATCACACCGCACAAATATGTTGGTATGGATCTTGTATCACGAGATACAATCATTGGTAGCTACGAGTTCGTGAAGTGTCACGCAAACCGAAAAATCTGAAAATTGTCGTCATACAAGAGGAACAAGTCAAATTTGTGAAGTATGTTTCATGATAACGACACAGGTACACACTGTTACAGCTTTCACCACAGTATAGTTATGATTACACAGTAATATCCTATGTTCGGCAATAAAGTGGTGTTTTCCGTCGATGCCAGGGTACATACAGACGGCCGTATTACTGATTGATATGTTTTACGTCCGCTTCAGTACCGAGTAGTTCGGCAGACCACCCGGTCGTATTACTACCCTGTCGTCGACCAAGTACCCAAATATTGCATAACATTTAAATGATCATGTCTGCTATGAGGCCCATCATGGGGAAACTTGACAGTAACAGCCCGAGTAAATGGTGAGGTTAAACAGATGGTAAACAGACAGATATATTGATTATCGATTTTAGTAAGGCATTTGATAAGGTGAGCCATTCTCTCCTTATCCACAAACTTAGGAGGTATGGAATTACTGGACCAGTCAACACCTGGATTTAGGGCTTCCTAAGTGACAGAACCCAGACTGTTGTAGTAGAGGGTGAAATGTCCGATTCTGCCCCAGTAAGATCAGGGGTCCCCCAAGGCTCGGTCCTCGGGCCGAGTCATTTCTTATACTACATCAATGATATCACTGAGGGTATAACATCTTCTATCAGACTCTTTGCAGATGATACCATAATGTATCTGACAGTAACATCTCAGAGGGACGCTCACACCCTGCAAAGAGATCTTGATAAACTGGCGCTTTGGGAGACTAAATGGAGGATGGTTTTCTATCCTAAGAGATGCCAGGTCCTCTCTGTCACAAGGAATAGACATCCCATCTGTCATCCCTACATACTACATGGTCACGAGTTGGAGCATGTGACAGAGGCTAAATATCTTGGTGTCACCATTACTTCTGATCTAAAGTGGAGTGGTCATATCAATAACTTCGCAAAAAAGGCCAATTCCACTCTGGGCTTCCTGAGGCGCAATCTCAAAATTTCATCGTCTAACATCAAACAAAAGGCCTAGAATACGCTAGCCCAGTAAGGGAACTTTACTTATTTTTTTAGACAAGCTAGAGATGGTACAGCGCAGGGCTGGCCGTTTCATTGCCAACCGCTATCGTAACACCCAAAATGGCGTAGTCTTGCAGATCGCAGGAAAGAGGCGAGGCTGACAATGCTCTATAATATCTATCATAATAAAATTGCCATTACTACTAAATATCTCACCCGTATAACCAGACAAACAAGGCAAAGTTATCAAACCTCATTTCAAACTATCTCATGCAGGACGTCTGTAAGGAAGGAATCTTTCCTCGGACTTTCAAAGATTGGAACAAACTCACTTCTCAAATTATTTCTTCTGATTCACTACTGTCCTTCAAATCATCTATCTCTGTTCATCAATATCAAGTCCTGTTCCTTTCCTTTCCTTTCATAGCGCTACACCTATATACAATCAAAATCGTCACGGCGTCAACAAGCCGTGTTCAAAAAGAACACTCCCACAAACCGAACGGTTGTTTCAGCGTGTCACTCACGCGATCTGTCTCGTCGATTGGTCGATACATTATGTATGACATGATCTTCACTATCACCAAATGGTAGAAGTAGAGAAGGGAAAAGTGATTGGTTAGCTTGATGTTGATATGGGGCCCTCCAAGGGGTAACTGTTCATGTTGTGATGTTCTCTCCGCTGTCGGTACTCAGGGTCAAATGAGATACATGCGCTTTTACCACGGAATTAGATACTTTACATAATTAACAATATTCACGGTTTCAGTAAAATGATATGATCTAATTGTATTGCTGAAGTAAACGATTTTTTTCATATGCACGATTCAAATATATCAAAATGACAATTCAAGATGAATAACTTAGGAAAGAGAACCTACTTCTAATAAATCGGATCGCATAACAAAAACTACTTTTTAAATCGTAATGTTTCAACAGTTCATGTTTTCACATCATGTTGACTTAGAATGTATGTCTATTAATAATATACGGAGCCCCCGAAGGAACATGGTAAAACATTTACTAATCCGTGCGCACGAGTTACCAAACCGTGCACACGGATTACTAAACCGGTTACTCGTGCGCACGAATTAACAAACCGTGCGCACGAGTTACTTATCTATTGCACAAGTTACCAAAAGTTTGCAAGTGTTTCACATTATTCTATCAAAGTAATGGATGTTGGTGGGGAATACATTGTACATCCAATATCGGATCGATTTCTTTTGATGTTCACAAGAAGAGGTCAAGTACAGTGGATATTTCTTAGATAAGAACCAGTAGCTGTTTTGCTTTATGGCTCTTAAACAGGTAAGATTGTGATGCTTGTTTTTCCGTCAGAACATAGTATTGTGTTGTTCACTCAATTTGGTTAACATCTAATCACCCTTACCTCCGCAAGGTGTTGATGTACACGAGCTCAATATATCACGTTATGAAATTGTTGACGTTTTGATATTCCTTCCATATAGTATGCGAATTTTCCTAATGTTTCGTATAGTTGAAATAATGACGTATGATTTTTTAAGGTTAGCTATGAAATTTAATTATATAACTTTTGACATGACGACGGAATATTCTGAAATATCTGTTCCGTGCACAGTTATAAACCTGATTTACAAGACATAAAAATTATAGTTTATACATAATGTACTTACAATACTGGTAAATATATGAGATTTGAATGATAGGTGTCACGTATTGTAGGTACGAATTACCCGTGGTCAGTGTCCACCAGGTAGGCAATTATACTAATCCTGCTACGTAATGTGACGAACAATGGTAAATGAGTTATTCTAAGAAAGTTTGTATATGTATCTTCTTTAGAGGCTTTAAGATAGTAAAAGCTCCACAGGTAAATAAATGACATATATACTGGCAGAAAGAATTCCATCGAAATGTCTTTTAAACTTAATTGTAAAAAGTCGTCGTAATATGAATTTGATAATAAATTGTGAGATTAAAACTCTTAGGAATAAGCGTGTTAATTTTTATTTTACAAAGTGTGGAATGATATTTTTCTCCCACCTAAAATAGATATTGCGGTTGCATGAAACACAGGTGTTAGTTGTATGGTTTTCCAGCAAATCCAATGAGTTACAAATATTTTCTGTGATGTGCCATTGTTAACGTAACGTAAGTTCATTGATTACATATGCATCCTAATTCGGAAATCCTCTCGTTTTTTCCCTGTCCGGGAGTTTACATTTTAAGTCTTTTCAATGCCGTTTTTTTAGCCCGGATATACAATATTGTCGGCCCTAGTGGAAAATAGCCGCATACAGAATAGCACGCTTTTTGTCATGCCATAAAAAGTGAACGGCGATATTCAATGACCATCTGTACTTTAGTTTATATGCATGTCAGATTACAGTCGGTGGAATTGTAACTGAAAGTAAAAAATGGGCGAAAAATAATCTTCCTCTACCTTGAGGGAGAGACGGAGAAATGTGATTTTTATGATTGTCCTATCAGAGGTTCTGTCAGAGTTAGAAAACCAAATAATCACTCGAGGGTTGGGCATGTTTGTGAAGCCCATTCAGGGTAGGTGATGAATATTTTTTTGAAATTATCAAATCGATCAGAGAGAACAAATATACCCAATTGAAATTATTTTTACGAAAAAAGTAATCCAATCTTCCTGGAATGTACGGTTTATATACTGTAAATAAAAATCCTTACGTCGACATCTTCCGAAATGTGGCATCGGAATTTGCTTTTTTTACGTCAAATCATTGTTGAACCATTGTAATGTCAAATTCCTGAGATCCCTTTCTTGCCCAGGATAACTTTACCAGCGTGAAGTTGGTTACTTATTCAATATTGGGCTAGTTTGATATTCAAATGTACCTAACATAATAGTTCTTATGCCGCTTTTTCACACCTATACCACATCTGGGCATCTTCTTAGGTATCCACAGGCAAAACGGCATCAACGATACCCCAGGCTAAAGATGCCCACTGGGCATCATTTCGAATTTCAGTACATAATCGTTAATTTTTCGTTTTCAACAGGCCACGGCATATTGTTATAGGTCTTATGCCGCTTTTTCACACCTATACCACAACTGGGCATCTTCTAAGGTATCCACATGCAAAACGGCATCAACGATACCCCAGGCTAAAGATGCCCACTGGGCATCATTTCGAATTTCAGTACATAATCGTTAATTTTTCGTTTTCAACAGGCCACGGCATATTGTTATAGGTCTTATGCCGCTTTTTCACACCTATACCACAACTGGGCATCTTCTAAGGTATCCACATGCAAAACGGCATCAACGATACCCCAGGCTAAAGATGCCCATTGTGTCTCACACGACGCATTCTTTAACAATATTTGTGTAACACACTTCTTATTATTTATGACTTGCGCAAGTCTAAAATGTCTTGGTTATATCACATAGATTTCTACGCACTCGTATTTTAAATAGAATGGATAATCTGCATTTCTACTGCAGCAGGAACATCAGCATTTTTCCCCAGCATAGTAAACCGAACCAATATAAATTAAATGTCAGCTTTCATTCATCATATTGGTGTAATTATACTAATATTAACGGGACTATTTCTGCAAATTACGAACTACCTTCGTATACAACACCGCCGATTGACTGCCTATATTTATCCATTGTTTCTCTGACGTCATTTCGTACTCTGGGAATCCCCATCTACAGTCAGGTACTGTAGACTTGCCCAAGTGCATGCCTGATACTTTGCAGAATTGAATTATCAGTGACAATTACCATGGCAGTTTTTTTTCTTCTCCAGCGGATGTGCTCTTTCGAAATCTAAAGACCTATGATGAACTGATTATGTAAATGATAAATGATGTAAGTAGCCTAGTTATTTCCGCACCCCATCCCGCTCGTCAATTGATCTAACTCCCCATTTTCTCTATTTTCCTGAATGAAACGGTTCCTACATATATAGCTTAGGTTATTTTTCACTTTGACAATCATACCTATATGTGTATAAGGACGTCAGTTACTTCACTTAGTTAATAATTTATCGTACCTTTACTATTGATGTTATCAATTTTTATCGTTGTTATAAAAAACTCAATCAGTTCTCTAGGTGCGATTTTTTTTATCATCAAATTGTAGCGACCGCCCGAACATCTTCATTGGTACGCATGCGTACGAAAGGATTACAGAATTACTTGCCATATGTTACACTTTTGTCGACCGGAACTAAAACTCCAATGAATGGCAGTTTCAACATATACACTTA